AAAGAAATCAAAGACCTCTTCTCTGAAAACTCTGATAAGAGAGATTGAAGATGGTATCAGAGAATGGAAAGACATCCCTTGCTCCTGGGTAGGAAGAAGCAACATAGTGAAAATGGCCATACTTCCAAAACTGCTATATAGATTCAATGCAATCCCAATTGAAATCCCAGCAGCATGCTTCACAGACCTGGAGAAAACAATCCAAAAATTCATTTGGAACAAGAAGAGACCTAGAATAACAAAAGCAATTCTAGGCAATAAAAGACAAGGTAGGGAGTATCACAATCTCCAACTTGAAACTATACCACAAAGCTACTGTGATAAAAAAAACAGCATGGTACTGGCAAAGAAACAGACCTGAGAACCAGTGGAACAGATCAGAAGATTCAGATCAGAAGATCCAGCTCATCTTTGACAAAGAAGCCAAACACCCTCACTGGAGGAAAGATAGCCTCTTTAATAAATGGTGCTGGAAAAATTGAATTTCAATTTGCCAAAGATTAAAACTAGACCTATATGTCTCACCATGCACTAAACTAAAATCAAAATGGATTAAAGAGCTAAATATTAAAACAGAAACACTAAACTGGCTGGAACAAGATTAGGTAGAACTCTTGAAGACATTAGTGTAGGAAAAATTTTTATGAACAAAACTTCAGTTGCCCGTGAACTAGCACAAAAAATCAACAAGTGGGATCTCTTCTTATTAAAAAGCTTCTGCACAGCAAGAGAAACCACCAACAGTGTGAAGCGACAACCCACAATGTGGGAAAAAATCTTCACCTGCTATTCCTCAGACAAAGGTCTACTATTTAGAATCTATAAAGAACTTATAAAAATCAGACCTCCCAAACTTAAAGACCCAATCCAAAAATGGGCATCTGAAATGAACAGAGATTTCTCAGACAAAGAAGTAGAAATAGTAAATAAATATATGAAAAAAAGAAAAATGTTCACCATCACTGGTCATTCAAGAGATGCAAATGAAAACAATGCTGAGAGTCCACCTCACCCCAGAAAGAATGGCTGCTCTCATGAAATCAACCAATAACAAACGCTGGCAGTGCCATGGGGAAAGAGGAAACTTGCTGGTGGGAGTGTAGACTGGTGCAACCACTGTGGAAATCAGTATGGAGATACCTCAAAGAACTAGACTGGAAGTCTCATTTGACCCAGCTATTCTTCTGCTGAGTATCTTCCCCAAAGAATTAAAAGAATCATACCACAGTGATATATGTGCACCCATGTACATAGCAGCACAATTTGTAATAGCTAAAACTTGGAAGCAGCCCAATTGCCCATCAACTGGAGACTGGATAAAGAAAATGTGGTTTTTTTAAAAAATGGAGTACTACTCAGCCATAAAACATGAGAAATTAGAGACATTTATAGCTAAATGGATGCACATTGAGGCAATACTCTTAAATGGAATAAACAGAACACACATGTGTAAATACCAAATAGTTTCTCTAGTGTAAGAAACTGAAAGTGTAAATAAGGACTAAAAGATATAATAGATAATGTGAAATAGGAAGAAAAGGGGCAAAGGGGAAGGGGAAGTAGGAGGGGTAGGGGAAAGGAAAGAAGGGAATGGAATTAATATGAAAAAATGATAAAAACAGAAACAAAGTCTTTGTAAATAGGGAGGAATGGAGGGGTTGAAGGGAGGGCAGGGGAAAGGGTGAAAAATAAGAACCAAGAGAGATTATGTAAAGGTACAAATTTCCAATGATGAATGCCATTACATTGTACACCTAAAATGTACCAATAAAATTAATTTTAAAAAAAGAAATGGATAACTTAGTATCAGGAAATGAAATTTCTTGTTAGAACCCATTAACAACAACAACAACAACAAAAAGAAAAAGCACCAGGCCAAGATGTCCTTACTAGTGAAAAGAACACCATCCTGATATCAAATTACAGATCTACATCCATCATGAAACTAGATGTAAAAGCTCAAAAACTTTTAGTAAATCAAATCAAGCAACATATCAAAGGAATAATAAATGTATCATGACTAAGTGGAGTTTATCCCAGTAATGCAATTTTAGTTAATATTTTAAAAGAGGCTTTTTTTTACTCCTGGAGCTGGATGTAGTGTCACACACCTGTCATTCCAGCTACTCGGAGACTTGGGCAGGAAGATCACTTGAACCGAGGAATTTGAGACCATCCTGGGTGACATAGCAAGACCCCATCTAAAATAAGAAAGAAAGAAGGGGAGAGAGTCAGGAAGGAAGAAAGGAAGGGAATTTATCATATTATCAGAATAAAGAAAAAAATAATGTGATTATCTCAATCTATGTGGGAAAAAGCAATTGACAAAATTCCAAACCCAGTCATGAAAAAAAAAACTCAGCAAACCATGAAAAGTACTTCTTCTATGAGGTAAAGGATATGTAGGAAAAAAAACAGCTAATACACTTAGTGATAAAATAATGAATGCTCTCCCCACATAATCAGGGAGAAGGCAGTGCTGTCTACTCTCTCCACTTCCATTCAACAGTAGCATTAGCTAGTGATGGCAATAAAGTAAGAATAATTAAAAACATAAAGATCTCAAAGGAAGAAGTAAAATTGATCCTATTTTGCTGATGGTGTGGTTATTCATGCAGCAAATCCTCAGGATGATATTTAAAAACTATTGAATTAATAAGAGAATTTTTAAGATTTTAGGATATAGAATTAAAGGTTAAAATCAACATTACCTAAATGTTTATCACCAGGAACAACTGAAACAGATATTTTTAAATTACATTTATAAGAGCACTGAAATCAATATCTATAGGAATAAATTTGTGAGTTAAACAAATCTCCTACATCTATAAAACAGACAATTGCTGAGAGAAATAGCAAATATCCAACTAAAAAGGAGAGATATACCATGTTCTTGGATTAGAAGACCCAGTACAGTTAAGATGTCTTTCTCCAACTTTATCTCTAAGTTTAAAATAATGCCAATAAAAATTCCAACAGAACAAAAAACAAAAAAATTGATTTGAAAATAAAACTAGATATTAAAAGTAATTATAATAAAGGATAACTTGTACCATCAGAAATCAAGATGTGCTATGAAAATATAACAAAGCCCATAAAATAGACACACTAATAAAATGAAAGTCATAATATAGACTAAATCAAAATTTATATGAGCATTGAATATTCAAGTAAGCTTCAATTTGAATCAATGGAATTAGAGTTAAACATACATGGCATGATCAAAAAATAAAGTAAATACATAGAAATTTTTTTAATTTATTACAGTAAAAAATAAATTGTCACTAATACCCTTCAAAATATTCCCTCTCACTTAGAAAACATTGGTTTTTTGGGGGGGGGGGTTGGTACTGGGGATCGAACTCGGGACCTTGCACTTGTGAGGCAGGTGGGGGAACCACTGAGCTAAATCCCCAGCCCCATGCTTACTGTTCTTACCACTTTCTGAAGCAGTTCTGAAAGCCTGCTTCCACTATGATAAATTTAATCCAACTGATTAACGAATACCAATACATTATTAAAGTTCCTACTTTATGCAGATTTCCTTAGTTTTCCCAATTACTGTTTTTATGTTCTCAGATTCCATTCAATATACCACATTACATTTATCATCCTGTCTCCTTAGTCTCTTCTTGGCTATGACATTTTCTCATGTTTTCCTTGTTTTTGATGACTTTTGAGAAGTACTTTGTAAAATGGCTCTGTATGGAATTTATCTGATGAGTAATTATACTGAGTTTACAGGTTTGAGAGAACAGATTTCTTTTTAATGATCATACTAAAGACTAACAAAGGTACAGCATGATGAGCATTCTCATCTGTTGTGAGAGTAAAATTTGCTACAGTTTTCCTAGAAATAAAATTTTTGTAATGAAACCATCCTAATGCAACCAAGTGATTCCATTTAGAAGACTCCTTTTAAACTGTTCAGAGATGAGGGGAAGGATTAAGGTCTCACAGTGTGGTCTACACAGGAGAAACTGAATGAATACAGCTAGCCATACAAGATACATGACTAGAAAAAAAAAGGCTTGAAGGATTTCTTCAAAGAGTTCACAGTGTTTGCTCCAAGAAAGTTTCTTAATGGATGGTTTTTATTTCTCGTTTTTCTTTCCTGAATTTGTCAAGTTTCTTACAATGAGCACATGTTATATTTATCATCAGAGAAAATAATACGACCTTTTTAAAGAAAATAAATATGCACATAAACATATATTTTAGTTTTCATTGCACTTTTCAGTCAAGGCTCATGATGGTGCCAAGGCAATCTCCTACACTCAAAATGCTTAAACTCTGCCGCACCTGGCCCAGACGTGGCAATTTATGCCCTCTCTATGGCACTCAAGGCCAAGGCTGTTGGTACATGAGTTTCTGTTCCATCATTGAAGTTAGATCTGTTTCTCCTTACATCTGTGTCCTAGCTTACGGAATATTTATCATGTCATATTGGTGTCCTTTTCTCTCTTTTTTTATTCCTTTTTTCTTTATCCCCAATAGAATCAAGCCCAGGATCTTCATTCTGACAATTCTCCCATTATTTGACCAACCAGAACTTTTCCTATCTCAGTTTTCATGGCTTTCCTTATGTTTGCTTATCTACTGAGATATTTGAGAGCCAGGCCAGATCTCACTGGTCTTTGGTTTTACCTTCAGCACTCAATAAATCCTTGTTAAATTTGTGTTGAATAAATTTTTTATAATTTTTGTCCAATGTAATTAGGCTAATTTTTAACCATTACTGTAAACGTGCCTCCTTCATTTCTACCTCTGCATCTGTCCTTGTACCATTCCCCCTGCCTGGCCTACTCTTTGGCCTCTCCTTCCTATTTACATCTTTGCCAACACTTATAATTGCTACTAATTCAATGTTCCACTATTAGTTCTCCCTACTAATTTCATTTCTACTGGTCTGTCTCTTCTGATTTTCTGAGGCTCTATTTATATTTTGGTCCACATGATTTTACATTGTTCCCTACTTACATTAGGCCTTTTTCTCTGCCAGCATGAATTAGTGAAAAGTCCAGAATCTGATATAAGAAAGAGACCAGTGGCTGCACACTAGTATTGCCACTACCATCTTAGAGATCATAGCTAATCATCCATGCTCTTTGAACCTCAGTTTACCATCTGTAAAATGGGGGTGATAGCTCAAATTTACATTTCGAAGATCAAAAGAAATAATATACACGTAAGAAAGAAGGCAAGAGAAAAAAATAATCTTTAGGATTATTGTTGCCATTATTAAATCTTTTATTCCCCAAAGAGTTTATAGTTTCTTAAGACCCTAGCATTCTTCTGAATCTTCCAGAGTTTCTTACCCTACATTTCTCAGACAGTATACTGACCTGGAAGGCAGTATACACATCTTGCTACACTATATATCTTGAAAAACCCACAACCCCCTGAGTCTCTTTGCCTGTCAAATAAGGGCCATATTATCATAATATCTGCCCTATCTATCCCTCTCTATCATCTTTTGACAACAAACAGATGATGCATAAGAACTTTGTAAGTTGCAAAGCAACTATAACCTGCAAAATGTAACATGAATTTTCAGCAGATATACTCAATACATGTATAAACTTGGAGCACTCTCATTCAGCCTTTTTCATATTTTCTTTAGTCTATTTCACCCCACTAAAGTTCCCATGAGCCACAACAAAAAGCTCCCTGATGAGCTATACTTATACCAACTCTGATCTGTAACATCCAACACCACTCCAACACCATCCCTGTCCTCTTAAGGCACCATGGTTCACACAGTTCCTCATTCTCCCTGTCTATTTTGGGCAGCAGGATCCCAGATCGAAATGTGCAGCCAACTTCTAGCAACTTTTCAGCAAATCTGAACAAACACTCTCATACTATGTTCTTGACTTCACATTTTTCTCCTACTTTGATTTTCCCTTTTATTTTACCTTGTCCTGCTGCACGTAACTTTGAAAACCACCTAAAATTCCTTCTGAAAGGAAAATGTATAAAATCCACAATCAAAGTTCCACATACTCACTAAAAACAATGTCCTATTTCCAATTTCAGGGTGCTATGATTCTTCAGTAACTATGACAATCTATATGGTCATTCATTATCTCTTACCAATAGGAATAGCTATGATTCACTGTTCAGAAGAATTAACACAACAGAAGTCTTCCCTGTATGAATGCTCCTTTGCAATGCCACTTTTCAACTCCTCCCATCAAAAAGTAGTTCTTTCTTGACTTGTTGTATATGAGTGAGTTCTGTGACCTATTTTAGCAAACAGAATGCAACAGAAATAATGACAGTTTTAGGATTTAGGAGAATTTGAGCAGTTCCTCTCTCTCTTTCTTAAATTCTCATCCAGCCATCAGATTAACAAACCCAGGTTATCCTGCTGAATGGTGAAAGACATTTTTATAAAGCCTAGTTGCCTCCAGACAGCCAACAGCAGCCAACCTAGCTGACTGGCAGTAGATATGAGATGGACACAATCAAAGACCACCCTACTAAATCCATTGCTGATTGCTGACCCACAGAGTTATAATCGAAATGTGTGTATGTTGTTTTAAGTCATTATATTTGGGGATGGTTTGTAAGCCACAAAAGCTAACTGATACAGCACCTGAGATCATTCACAGGGCTGGAAAGAATGATGGAACCAAAGGAAACTAATCATTTGAGATCTGTGAATACTATAAAAACATGAAACAGAATCAGAATCTTTTTAAGAACAACCTCTTGGAATGCACAAATCCACTGGACATAAGAGAAAATTAAAAGCAACTTATTTCCATGAAAAATGCATTCTCTTGAAGGAGTGAAGGGCAGTCATCCTCACTAACCAATATTCTTGCAGTGTTAGCTGAGTGAGTATAAGATGCTTACCACATCCTCCATGTCCCCCAGACTTCCATTCCCAGAGTTGGTCATACACTGTGGAACTAGAGACAAGCCTCATCAACACCATTCACAAGCATAGACTTCAAACCCCAGACATCAGGCAGAAACATACTTTCAGAAGATGGTCCCTGCAACTAGAAGCTGCCAATCTACCTGCATTTATCAAGTCCTAGAAAGGAGATACATGAGAAGGAAACAGAGCAGAGACATAACAGTGCTAGGAGAATGGAGAATGGCCCTCTGGGATTCAGATTGACCTGAATCCGAGTTCTACTCCTTATAAAGTTGCTTACTGAATTTGGAGTTAAGAAACCTGGGCTCG